ATCTCAAGTTGTATTACAGAGCTACATAGTAATAAAAACAGCATAGTATTGGTATAAACACACACACATTGATCAACAAAATTAAATTGAAGACTCAGACATTACAAAGAATCTTAAAACACACACCGGAAACAAGACAGCATCTCAAAAAAAAGGTGCTGTTCAAACTAGATGGCTACCATGTAAAAGAATGCAAATAGATCCATATTTATCACCCTGCACAAAACCCAACTCCAATGGATCAAGGACCTCAAAATAAGACCTGATACCCTGAATCTGATTGAAGATAAAATGGGCAATAGGCTTGAACTCATTGGCACAGGAAAGGATTGTCTGAACAGGACACCAACTGCACAGACACTAAAACCAGCAATTAATAAATCAAACATCGGGCTGGAGAGATGGCTCAGAGGTTAAGAGCACCAATTGCTCTTCCAGAGGTCCTGAGTTCAATTCCCAGCACCCACATGGTGGCTCACAACCATCTGTAATGAGATTGGGCACCCTCTTCTGTATACATAATAAATAAATAAATCTTTAAAACAAAATAAATAAATAAATAAATGAAACATCATGGAGGTAAAAAGTGTCTGTGTATCAAAGGACACCATCATTTGGGCAAAATGACAGCCTAGAGAACAGGAAAAGGTTTTTACCAATTACATACACATCAGATAGATGGTTAGTATCTAAAGTTATAAAGAATGAAAAGACTGAACATCAAGAAAACATATAACCCAGTTTGAAAATGGGTTACATAATAAGCAGAGAGCTCTCAAAAGAGAAAACACAAATGACTGAGAAACATTTAAGGAAATATTCAATATCCTTAGCCATAAGGGAAATGCAAATTATAACTCCTTTGAGGTTTCATCTTCCACCAGTCAGGTTGGCCAAGATCAATAAAACAAATGACAGCATAGACTGGCAAGAATGTGGGGAAAGTGGAGCACTTATTCATTGCTGGCAGGACTGCAAACTTTTAAAGCCACTATGGAAATCAGTGAGGCAAGTTCCCCAGGAAGCTGGGAGTAGATCTACCTCAAGGTCCAGCTGTACCACTCTTGAGTATATACACAAAGGACTACATCCCACTACGAGGTACTTTCTCATCCATATTCATTTCTGCTCTTTTCATATTAGTCAGAAACTGGAAACAGCCTAGATGTCTATCAGTGCATGAATGAGTAACGAAACTGTAGAATATTTACACAATGGAATATTACTCAGCTCTTAAAAATGAAATTATGAAATTCACAGATTGATGGCTATTTTTGGTTGTCAACTTCACAACGTCTGGAGTTAATTAAAACCCAAGCCACTGGGTACACTTGTGAGAGATTTTTCTTGAGTGGATCGGTTGAGGTGGGAAGACCCACATTAAAATCAGAGCCACAGTTTCTGGTGGCAGCCTATATAAAGGACATGGAGAAGGGAGCTCTTGCCCTTTGCTTGTTTGTTCTCACTCTCACTGGCAAGTCTATTCCTTCACTGGCATTAGAGTCTACTTCTACTGGATTCTGGCATATACTGAAGACCAGCTGATGTATCCAGCTGCATGGACTAGACAATCTCTGGATTCTTAGCCTTTCCATGGGAGACAGCTATTGTTGAAATAGTTGGACCACAGCCTGTAAGCTACTTGAATAAATCCTCTGTGTGTGTGTGTGTGTGTGTGTGTGTGTGTGTGTGTGTGTGTGTGCATGTATGTAATGTATGTATTCATTCATTCTATCAGTTCTGTTTCTCTAGAGAACCTGGACTAATACAGCCTGTAAATGAATGGAGCTAGAAAAAAAATTATCCTCAGTTAGGTAATTCAGACCCCCAAAGACAAATACCGTGTTTTCTCTTAAATTTACATATTAGCGTTTAAGCCTTCAATATGCTTGCCACAGTCCATATAACTACAGAGGTTAGGTACATTGTGAAAAGACAGGGGTGGGGGGCTCTCCCAAGGAAGGGGGGGATAGAATATATTATTATAGACTATAAATTATAGAGACAAGGGGGGCTGTTGAGACCAGAGTGGAAGGATTCAATGTGGGGAAGGAAGTACGGGATAAGGGAGAGAATATGTGGCGAACTGGCTAACACTGAAGGCCATTTGAGGGGCCATATGAAATCTGCTACTGTAGAGGCCTCCTAAAGTTTATGCATATATGAAAGGAATCTAAATGGAGTCACCAAACAATGCCCTACCTAGACATCTTACACTACCAAGTAAAGTGCCAGGAATAGGTTACATCTAGCTGCGTCACTGGCCAAAGGGGTTCCATGGAAACCCTGAAACACCTCAGGCTATTGGTTGCTCTACACAACCTGATGGTAAGGACCTATTGCTGAGGACAACACTTACATATCTCATCTAATACAGAGAAGCGAAGCTGGTACCTACCTAGAGCCTTCACCCCTACTGACTAGTGTTTGTGGCGCTAGCAGGTACTGTGCTCATTACCAGAGGGGAAAGGTAACCACCCACCCAGCTACAGACGCTGTGATCTACAGTAGTGACCTGCCTAGGCTGGTGCAATCATGGCACAAACATCATGGAAATAACCAATCACTGTCTGATTGGATTTAAGGCTCACTCCATGAGATGGAATCCACGCCAGACACTGCTAGGGTGGCTAAGATCCTGAGACTAGATAGGCTATGGGCCCAGTGGAAGACCAAATACTAAAGGAACATAGCAATAAGATGACTCCTAATGACACACGGCTATACCCATAGATCAGTGCCTTGCTCAGTCATCGTCAGAGAAGCCTCTTCTTGCAGTATATGGAAGCTGTCACAGAGATCCACAAATGGGCAGTGGGCAGAGAGTGAGAGACTTTGGAGTACTCCATTTTAAAGGGGGTGTCTCCATCAGACTTCTCTTCTCAGGGCTGAGGGAGCTATGTGGAAGAGGTGGGAAGATTGTAAAAACCAGAGGTGGTCAATGACTCCAAAGAAGCAGTGTCAAGTTTTTCCCGATAGGCCCTGACTGGGTCTATTCACCACACTTCAGGGCAGGCTCCATGAGTAGCTGATCGAAGCAAAGTGAACTCAGTGGTGTTTTTATCTCATATTGTTTTATCTCATATTGATTTGTTTGGTCATTTAAAAAAGTCTTATTGGTCTTTTGCTTGTATGTTTTTGTGTTTTTTTTTTTGGTTTGGTGTGTTTGTGTTTATTTTGTTATTTGTTTTTTGTTTGTCTTTTTAAAGAGAGAAAAAGAATGTGGAGTTGTGTGGGTCGGGGGGTGGGGTGGGGAGAATCTTGGAGGAGTTGAGGGAAAGGAAATCATGATCAGAATATGTTATATGAAAAAAAATGGTGTTCAGTTAAAGAAGGAAAGAAAACAAAGGAAAACCAATGCTGGTGAAGACACGGGGTGGGGGGCAGTGGGAAGGGACACTCATTCATTGCTAATAGGGCTATAAATTTGTGCAGCCACTAGGGAAATCAGTACCGAGGTCTCCTAAGTAATTAAAAATAGAACTGACTTATGGCCCACTCCCAGATGTATACCTGAAAGACTATAAGTCAATATACCACAGAGATGTATGTTGTGGTGGTATTGTGTTCCCCAAAATATTGTGCACCCTAATAAACTTATCTGGGGTCAGAGAACAGAACAGCCACTAGAGGCCAGAAAATGGTGGCACACACACGCCTTTAATCCTAGCATTCCAGAGGCAGAAATCCCTCTGGATCTCTGTGAGTTCAAGGCCACACTGGAAACAGTCAGGCATGGTGACTCACGCCTTTAATCCCAGGAAGTGATGGCAGAAAGCAGAAAGGTATTTAAAGTGTGAGGACCAGGAACTAGAGCTGGTTAAGCTTTTAGGCTTTGAGCAGCACAGTTCAGCTGAGATCCATTTGGATGAGGACTCAGAAGCTTCCAGTCTGAGGAAACAGGATCAGCTGAGGAATTGGCAAGGTAAGGTGGCTGTGGCTTGTTCTGCTTCTCTGATTGTCCAGCGTTCACCCCAATACCGGCCCCAGATTTAATCTTATTTAATAAGACCTGTTAAGACTCGTGCTACAGTATGTGAATCCCTTCTTATTGCTACTCTGTTCACAGCTGAGAAGTGGAACCAGTCTGGATCTCCATCAACAGACAAATGGATAGAGAAAGTGGGATTTTATTCAACCATGATAAAGAAAAATGACATTTGCTGGAAAATGGATGGTAATGGAAATTATGCTAAGTGAAGTTAATTAGACTCAGAAAGACACATACTGCATGCTTTCCCTCATGTGTTATATTAGTCAGGGTTCTCTCGAGGAACAGAACTGATAGATGATCATATATATATATATATGATTTATTAAAATAGCTGGTCTAGCTAGTCCAACAATGGCTGTCTCCTAGTGGTAAGTTCAAGAATCCAGCTGTTGTTCAGTCTAGGAGGCTGGATGTCTCAGCAGGTCTACTGAAGAAGTAGGTTCTAATGTCAGTGAAGCAATGGATTTCCTAACGAGAGTTTGCAGGCAGAGAGAGAGAGCGAGACAACCGTCCTTCTTCCATGTCCTTTATATAGGCTGCCGGCAGATATAGCCCAGATTAAAGGCGGAATCTCCCACCTCAAAAGATCTGGATTAGAAGTAGGTCTTCCCACTTCAAATGATTTAACTCACAGGTGTGCCTAGTCACTCACTTTTAGTTCATTCCAGATGTAGTCAAGTTGACAACCAAGAATAGCCATCACCTGCATGGAACCCACATTTAACCCAGAAGGAACTAGACAGTCAGGCTTGCCTGAGACCTAAAGCAATGGGCCCAGACACCACAACTGAAAACGTCTGAAACTGAGATGAAATGAGCCTCTCCTCCCTTGAGTTGTTTTTGTTATTGTTGTTTGGTTTGGCGTCCCCCACCCCTAGACATCTGTCAGAGGAACGGGAAACTAACTCAAACGGGATTAAAAGCCGTCTAGGGGCAGATCCTGGGTAACGTTGTCTATTCAGAGAGCAGTATGTAAGAGCTAGTCAAGGAAAAGAGAGAGAGACTGGTAAAACCAGGCTGCAGACGACCTGAAAGGAGGGTGAGCAGAGGCAGCCGGCAGTCAGAGGACTTCTAAAACAGCGTAAACTGGAGTCTCTTGGAAGGAAGAGCTAAGCAGGAATACCGTAACGGGAGGTGAGTGAAGGGAAGGAGGTTGGTCTCATCTCTGCACCCCCACCGCGGTAGGTAAGCCTCGGAGGGCTGTAGGAAGAGGTAGAAGAGGAGGCTGTGAGGACGCGGAGGCAGGTGAGCGAGCCTGTGCTAGCCGACTTCCTGCCTCCATGCTTGCGGCTCCTTCCTCTTCCTCCTCCTGTTTTCACGATATCCCGCCCCTGCCTCATGCTCACTTTAGCGAGGTATCACTCAGAGAAAGACCTCTTCCTCCTCCGTGTACCAAGCCTCTGCATCGGAAAATTCTCAGCAGGTTTTCACATCATCAGGATACCCACTGAAGGCTGTATAAGGCCAGTGCCTTGCCAGAGACATTGACAAACACATTGGTCTCTTTCCATAATGTCAGAATTTATTGAGTAACAATAAATTCACAAAGTTCAGCAGTTTCGATGACAGCAATTTGTCATTTAAAAAAAAATGTCTACTTTGGTATCTTGGCAGGAGCAAATGCAAGTTCTTTATTCCGATCTTAATTACTAACTCCCACAGCACACAGTAAATACGTCTCTATACATACAGATGGGCTGCAGAGTAAATACACATTAGAGAGGCCGTAACAGCGCTCAGGTGGTTTCAGAAGCGGGCTGAGAAAGAATCTGGGGAGATAAGATAATGAACCAGAGCCACTTCGGGAGGGAGCTTCTAGGGGAAGTCAAGAGAGAGAACAAAGCTGCAGAATTCAGCTGTGAGGTGAAAGGCCACACTGGGTCCAGAGCAGGAAATGAGTCAAGAGCAGGAAACAGTGGGTCAGGCCCAGATCCAGACGGGCCAGCAGGTGGATGTGCAGGCAGTCAAGTGAGCTGTATCAATAGCAGGGGACTGAATCAAGTCAGCGAGGAGTCCTGGGCCCTTGCCTCAAACACCGTGTCAGGTGACAAGCTGGCCGCGCCATTCCAGTGTTGTGTCCACCATTATAAGGGGTCCAGACAAAGAGCTTACACCTTTCCATCCATCTGGTGTGACCAATAAGCTCTTGGATCTGATTTCCCTGATAGGATTTTACTATGTTCATGTACCCCCATAATTTCAATTCTCCCCGATAGATTTACAAGGTGGCTTCCTTTCTAGTCCTAGAACTAGGCCATCAATCAGTCTTTGCTGGATGGGGCTACCTACCAGATGGTTCAGTGTCTGGGTCCATACAGGGGCTATAGTCCTCCTTCTCAACATGAAATAAAGAACTGCTTGTAAAATAATAGAATCTCCTGGAGCAGTGGCTCTCAACCATCCTAATGCTGCGGCCCTTTCATACAGTTCCTCATGTTGTGGTGACCCCCAAACCATCAGATTATTTTCATTGCTACTTCATAACTGTAACTTTGCTACGGTTAAGAATCATAATGTAAATATCTGATATGCAACCCCAGCGAAAGGGCCCAAAGGGGTCTCAACCCATAGGTTGAGAAGCACTGTCTAAAACAATGAATTAGCCACCTTTTAATAAAACAACAGTTTTATATAATACGGAGCACCTTAGAGTAGGGCATAGCTTGGTCTCAGGGATTAAGTAAAGCAGTTTACAGCGTCAGATGCACCACCGCATGGCCACTTCCATTGGAGAGGTGGTCAGATCTGTCCTACCTAAACTGGCTCCTGCTTCTCTCTGATACTCTGAGGGAGGCATTGGACCCATACATAGCACTTAGTGAGGTTTTGTTTTGTTTTAAACAATTCCAAGGAACCATACGGACAATCTCCCGACAGCACCAAGCAGCTGCGGAGCAGAACCACCTTTGCCTGTGACCTTTTAAGATTAAGGAGGAAAAACAAAACCAAAAACGTCTTGTACGAGTAAAGAGAAAATGGGTTTTTCTGTCTTTGAGGAAAAGCAGGTTTTTGTAGGATAATGCGTCCTAGGACACCCTCTCCCACCATTTATACTTGATGTTCCCTCTGAAACTTGTATCACAGAATGCCTCTCTGCCCTCTCCTGGGGTGACAATAGTGAGTGCCTCAAATGTAAGCTCTCCACTTCTCTTCAGGGAGTTAACCAGACCAAGAACTCTGCCTAGTGTGCTGTTTCCTTGACACGTGAGCATAAACCCACTAAAGCCTCATCTGAATGGTACTTCCCTGAACTGAAAACAATAACCATGGGTTGATTGGTGGAAGGAGGCTGTGATTGCCAGCCTGGGAAGGGAAATCTCTCTAGGCCTACTAGAAGGGGCTTCATTGCCAAATCAGAATGCCTCAAGCGAACTTGAACTTCTCTCTGGCCTGCTACGATGATGACTAATAATGACGGCCAACTTGACAGGGTCTCGAATCTTTAGAAGACAAGCCTTTGGGTATGCCTGTGAGGGATCATCTAGATTAGGTTGGTAGGAGTGGGCTCATCCTAGAAGGAAGACAACATCATCCCCAGGCCTGGGGTGTGGACTGCATAAAAATGAGGAAACTAGCTGAGTGTGAGCATTCACCCCTCTCTTTCTGTGGAGGCAGAGAGATCTTCGCTCGTGCTCCTACAGGCCATGGCTGTAACAAGCCAGCCTAGTCTCCCTACCTTTGACTATCAGACTATTGAAACAATGGATCCATGAAGTTTCAATGCCCTTGAGAGGCCCACTCTCAACTTTTTTTTTATGTAGTCGGTGGCCCTATCCATGAAATGCTGCCACCCAGATTTAGGGTAGGCCTTCACACCCCAATCCAGTTTAAACAGATCCCTCATAGAATCGAGGAAATTCTTGAGATTCTCTTCCCCAAATGGTTCTAGATCGTGTCGTTAACAAAACTAACCATCACATGCACCCTATGTATTCCAATGGCTCCTGTCTTTATACAGACTCTCATCACTTCCTGTACTATTTGGACCAGCTCACTCAGTTTTTTTCCTTCTTGCTTCAGCTTGCTCTTGACCTTGGTTCCAGAGCGACCCATTAATTTAGGAAGAAACAGAAGATGACATGGCATCAGGCTCTCTCGTTTGGCTCATCTTGTGCTTTGGTCATTATTTCATGTTATAGTTGTGGCAAAAAAGAGTCAAGGTGGTCCAGCTTCTAAGCAAGTGTATACGTCCCCATTCCGGGGTTGTCTTGTCTCCAATCTGGATTCCTTGCTGTAGAATCAAAGTTATGTCTTTGGTAGGACTTATTTAATTGTCATTGGTACTATTGTCCTTATGTAGACTTACTGAGGACCCCACTGTCATCTAATGGTGTCTGGTGGCATGAGCCTTCCAAATGTTCACCTTTGTTCGGCACTTTCTTTACCCAAATAGTCCCATTCAAAACTCAAGAGTCAAGTGTCTCTTTACGGTAAAGCCTCTCTGCCTCCTTCAGGTTCTTTCCAAGTTTTCACTTGGGTGTTGACACAGCACTGTGTTCAGTTAATATCATTGTGTTTCCTATAGCTAGAGATATGGCATGTTGTTGAATCCACAGTGCTTTGCATATAACTGGCACTCCGGAAATTATTGTTGAGGCAAATTGAACACTTGTATCAGCATATGTAAATACTCATCACTTACTGGCTCTTTTTTCTATATATTAACTCAATAGCTTATTTACTCTGCTTTATCAAAAGACTACTCTTAGCTCTGGGAGATTTATAATTGTTTTACGTCCACAAGGATCTTCGCCATCTTTATACTCTTGATATTTGATACACAAGTGGTCTAAGTCCTTAAGTAGCTCCAGTGACTACAGATATTGAGACTGATGAGGTGGTCCACACCCTCATGCTGCTTCATACGACCAACTCTTTACCCAGAAGTAAACCTGGATCATCTCTCTTTGATTAGCCTCCTGGGTCACATTTCCTTAGGTTATGAATTTGGAAGGATCCTTAACCAACGATGTTTCTGAGTTATAGAGAATTTACATCTGACCTCTTCCTACAGATAACACAGCTATCTGCTTGTACTTTGAGAAATGATAATCTAAAAGACCCGCATTTTGAGAAGTAGTTGAAGAGAAAGAACACTGGATTGGGTACATGAATAGGTTTTAAATTGGGTTTTACTATTAGATCTAACTTCCACATTGTAGGGGGATTATTTGGTATGGCATAAATTCTAAGTTAAAAAGAATTAGGATAATCATAAATTCTGTGATTCTGTGATTGGGGGAGTATGAAATGAGACCCTTTTAAAAATGTGGTTAGCAGCCGGGCGGTGGTGGCGCACGCCTTTAATCCCAGCACTCAGGAGGCAGAGGCAGGCGGATCTCTGTGAGTTCGAGGCCAGCCTGGTCTACAGCACAAGATCCAGGAAAGGCGCAAAGCTACACAGAGAAACCCTGTCTCGAAAAACCAAAAAAAAAAAAAAAATGTGGTTAGCAAGAGCAACTGTATCACATGCTACCCACCACCAAGAGGATAACATTGGATATTAATGTCTCAAGTCAAGACCTGGTTCTTATTTAATTGGAAAAACATGAATAGAAGGATTGCACAGTGTCCAAGCGGTTAGCCCTCTTGAAACCCCTTTTTCGCTGTCTAACTGTAGACAAGTCTCTATCTTAATTAAGGTGTGTCTCTATCTCAATTTCTTCTTGGAAAAAACAAGAATACTAATACTACACTTTCTTTGATTTGAAGGAATCAAGCACACTACATTTAGAGGTATTTCATAATCTATGCAGTGTAATATCTGCCATTTTAATTAATGGAAGAGTATCTAGATGGAATCTGTCCACAGGAACTTACAAACAGCCTATCTTTAATGTAGTAGACATTTATGCTTATTTTTCTAGGTTGATAGGTGGCTTTAAATTGACTCATTTATAGTCTTTATGCCAATTCTTCTTGGTGATAAGTTAATTGAAAGACGGATAATTTTGAAGAAGGCTGCAAGTCTGAGGTCATGAAATATAGCAAAACGTGAGTAGCCTCAGCTGAAATTCAGCCAATGATACATCATTCATTTGCCTATAATTTTGCCTAGAAAGTGAAAGCTTAATGTATCATCAGGGATCCAAAACACTAGGATATTTAGATCTCAAAGTATGGACATATCAATA